ATTTTTTGAAGCCCTTCATAACCATGACCTTGGAAATAAACGGAACTTGCCCCCTCTTCTCTCAGATTGTTGCTATATGAATTTTAAAAATCAGGTCTTATGAATGCAGAAATGGTGCAGGCTCGCTCAGCCCTAGTCTAGCAAGCCTGTGAGTTCAGAGCCCCTTTGTCACACTCGTGGGGCCGCGACAGTAAAGTCCCTGGAATTCTTGGCTCACAAAGGCTATCGGGGAGAAACCAGAGAGCAGGCTCCTGGGAAATAGAAGGCATGAGAAGCTATGAAAGGAGAGTGAATAGACTTATTCAAAAGGCAGGACCAAGACTAATGAGCAAAAGAGCAGGAGGGATTTGGGTCTAGTAGCAGGGAGAGTATTTAACTCTGGGAGCCATTACATTAGAATGGAAGAAGCACATGGGGGTGAGTTCTCATCACAAGTAGCTGGTGAACGGAAGCAATACTGTAGAAGAATTTGTACAGAGAATTGAACTCTAAAACATGTGAGCTTTCGGCCACCTGTGTAAGTTCTCTGGTTAATGAGCATTACTGAACTTCAAAAACAATAGTAGTTCCTAACATTTAGGGAGCACTTCTTAAGCACTAGACACTCTTTAAGGGCATTAAAGCTTATCTTCACGACAATCCCATGGGCAGACACCATTGCTGCGTCTCTGTGAGGAACGGTGGCCTAGTGCCTATTACTCCACAGCCCTCAGGAGTGGAGGTAGGACTTGAGAGTAGTTTGACTCTTACAGCTCACATTTTCAACCTTTACACTAAGTGCCACCCACACAGAGCTGTGCATACCTTCATACAGCATGGCCAGAAGCGCAGGCCGAACTGTTGCTTGCGTTTTCTACTGCAGGACTGATTTTGGGGTGTCATTATACAGCCAGGGAATACCACAAATAAAGTACCATTTACTTTTCTCTTTATACCTATCCCCACCCATATATATAGATATATATGATTAGGGGCATGAAACTATGCTTGTGTTAAACATCGTGGAAGGAAAAATACCTGTGAGCCTCGGCTCTTTCTCTCTTGATTAGTTTAGTAGAACTGAAGGTCGCTGACATTCAAACTAATCTTGCTCTTTATCGAGTGATTTGGTATCCACCACCACCACCACCCCCAACAACAACAACAACAAAACAGTAGAAAAATGCTCTGCTGGGCGGAGTTTTCGTAGTATGAATTTTCCCCCCACTAGGTGAGTACTGGGCAACTCGCTCTGCCTTATTGCACCCAGTGGTGTTGCCTGGGAAGGTTCTCTCTGGTCACAGTGAATTTTTTTGTAAAAGCAGTTTTGCTCCAACCTCGTTTTTTTGTGATGGCTGATTTCAGAGAACAGTGTGCGGCTGTAAAATTTTGTTTCCTGCTTGGGAAAAATGATGCAGAAACAGTTGTGATGTTGAATACAGCTTACAAGGACAGTATTATGGGAACACTCAAGTGTATGAGTGGTTTTCTTGTTTCAAAAAAGGTGAAATGTTAGTTGATGAGAAACCTCATTCTAGATGTCCGTCAACTTTCTGAATGAAAATGTTGACTTGTAGTGGATTTGGAGTTCATTGCACCAGGTCAGACTGTTAGTCAAGATCTCTCTTTAGAGTTTCTGAAAAGATTGCATAACAGGCCTGATTGCAAAAAAGGCCTGATTTGTGGCAGACGGGGGGCGGGGGGGAGCTGATTTTGCCACCAAGACAACCAGTTTTTGGCAAAAACAGCATGTCTCTCTTGCCTCACACACCTTACTCACCTGACCTCACTCCATAGGACTTCTTTTTGTTACCGGAAATGAAGAGGGACATGAAAGGACAGTGATTTGATGATGTAGAAGAGGTGAAGGAAAAAACCAGGGAGGTGCTGGTGAACCAGACAAACAGATGAGTTTGAAAAATGTTTCCAAGAATGGAATTGCAGATTTGACAAATGTATTAAGTGTAACGGAGAGTAATTTGAATGTGATAAAGTTATTTTGTTAAAAAATTTAAATACATAGCTTTGGGGGGTATTCCATTTTATGGGGGTACCCGATCGTGTATATAGAATTAGTATATATTTCCCTTATAACGTAGTCAGAGCGACCATGTAATCAATGTGGGAGTGTCACTTGTCTTGAACACTATCTTTGCTTGAGGTCAATCTCGGTTCAGGGCTTGAGCCAGGAATTTGGGGTCATGTATTTCTGACTAGATTTTGTCAACGACCAGCTGTCCAAAGCAGCATTATCCAATAGAAATATAAGACAAGCTACATAAGTAACTTTTTTTCCCTGTCATTTTATTGGGGGCTCTTACAGCTCGTTACATAAGTAACTTTAATTGTTTTGTAACCTCATTAAACAGTCAAAAGAAACAGATGAAACGAATTCAATGAATTCTGTTACTCCACAAAATAGATCCATAATACCACCATTCCAGTATTTAATTAATATAAAAAAAATGTGAAAAGTAATGAGCTATTTTACATCCTCTTTTTTAATGCCAAGCCTTTAAAATCCAGTATCTAATTTACACTGAGCATTTGTGTTAAACTGAAGTCTAATTTCTCTATTATACTGCTGAATTTTAATTTTGAATACTTGATCTGTATTTGCATTTACACGTATTCCAGATTACAACAGACAAAGTGGATTCACATGCCCAAGTTGTGCTAAATTCACTACCGATGTTTACATCCACATTGACAGATAGGTTCTTCCTTTTCAGAAGGTTTTCTATAGCTTTGAAGCAGAGTGAAATACTGTCTTAGGAAAACCATAAAGTTGTATTTTATAGGTTTCTATTTCTAAATTTAAATATAAACTAACAAAATTAATTAAAATTAAAATTTTATTAGTCATTTCCACTAGTCTCATTTCAAGTACTCAATCAATAACCATGATGGCTACCTCCTTTTACCCCCGCCCCACAAAATAAAACCAACCCAACTCCAAGCCACCACCATCCGAGCAATTCCAACTCACAGTCACCCTGCATAGGGCTTGCAAGACTGTGCATCTCTATGGGAGTCCGTAACCTCATCTTTCTCCTGGGTTTCAGCTGGCTTTGAACCATCGATCTTTAGGTTAGTGGCACATTGCCTAACCCACTGTATCAGCAGGGCTTCCTTCTATATTAGGCAGGACAGGTCTAAAGCTTACCGTGCAATGGGGTTTCTAAAAGCTGGTAGAACTCTTATTATTATCTTTTCATTCCATTTTTCCCCATGAATTTCTTGAAGCTCCGTCATGTGTTTACCGAACCTTCTGAGGCTTCCCCTGGAATCTCTCGTATTTGGTGGTAGGAAGTAGGCTATGTACAGTGCACCCTCACAGGTTGGGGAGCCTCCTGCTTGTCATTTTCCTCTGGCTACCAAGCAGAAGCCGGCAGGAGAAGAGCCAGAGTGTGGGCTCTGGTGGAGAACATGCCCTTGGTGCAGCACAGGATGGTAACTGCTCTCTGTGCTTCTGTTGGTTGGCAGGTCCATCTCCCATTCGCAGTGGTTGGCAGCACCGAAGAGGTGAAGATCGGCAACAAGATGGCAAAGGCCCGACAGTACCCTTGGGGCGTAGTGCAAGGTACGTGCATGTCACGGGCAGTATTAATCTATGTGATCAGTGTCCCCATTTCTTTCCTCCCAGTCCTGTTGGGGGGAGGTCCTCGGCAGATGGAGTGGTGGGGTTTCACACCTGGCAATGGTGTGTTCCGTGGAGGGGAGGAAGAAAGAAGCGATGAGCAGATAGTTGGCTCTGGAGGGAAGTAGCTGCAAAGCCCCAGTGCCAGTGAGGCAAGCCTTCAAGAATGTGGTGGTGTGTGGGAAATTCAGCGTGCAATCCAGAAAGAGTTCTTCCCATTCCACCAGGGAACTATGAGAATGCTGCAGCCGAGTTCTTGGCAGACAAGAAGGTACTTGTTTCTCCGCCATCTCTGGTAACATCTTCCAATTAAATGTTATCTCAGTAAATGTGTGAGCATTATGAGAATATCTGACGTATACTTGGCATAGAGTAGCATAACCACAGTCTCTAACCTCAAGAAGCTCCCCGTTTGCTACTTTGAAGGGTACAGACCCTATGGCCTACCCATGGATAACTGAAGAAGGAGCCCTGTTGGTTGAAGATGTATCAGCCTTCCTTTCCCAAAACCAAATCCACTGCCATTGGGTCAGTTCTGGCTCCGTGACACTGGAGGATGAAGTAGAACTGAACTGCTCCCTTGCTTTCTGAGACTATAAGTCTTGAGGAAAGCAAGCTTCATCTTTCTCCCGAGGAGTGACCAGTGGGTTCCAACTATTTATTGACCAGCACACAACCCACTATGCCACCCGGGCTCCCTAATAAAGCCCAAGGCACATAGCACCTGTACAGCCGCAGGAAAGTATGCTTAATTTTTCGGAATCATATCAATTTCTCTACACCGAGGAAACTCTTTCCCTCGCAATGTTATTGAAGAAATAAAGGTGGTATTATATGTAAAACCACCTTGTATCATTCCAGACAGCATGGACTACTGGAAATAGGTCTAGCTCTGGAGCAAACTGTAAGGATGTTTGAGTCTAGATTCTGCTACCACTCACCGGAGGCTTGTTGATTATGGAAGGGCCGCCAGGCTCCCTTGCAGGGTTATTGCAAAGAGTAAAGAGCATCTTGGTAAGGTTCTTCCCATCGTGCCCTGCACCGAGCAGGCCCTCTTGTCAGTTGCCACCATCTGCGGGACAGTCCACGTGGTCCACTTAGGACATGTAGGGTGGTTCTGGTACAAGACCTTCAGGTGGCTTTGAGGCCAAGGAGTGGCAGTGGCAACATCTAGGAAGTGCCATAGCTGATTTGCGTGGCCTCCCTTGTCTTTTCCTCTCTCACAGTTGAGAATGAAAATCACTGCGATTTTGTGAAACTCCGGGAGATGCTGATCCGTGTGAACATGGAAGACCTGCGGGAGCAG